TAAAAGAAATTGAGGAAAAATGTCTTGTATCAGTGTTGGGTCAATAACTTTGCAAGTGACCCTCGTAAACGGAACCCAAGAAAAATGTCACGGGACTAAGGAGAAGCGGAAAGTTGAGGCGCGATGGAAAAATCCTTTGGCGGCCGAACTCGCAAAGTCATTCTGCCGTTTACGGGTAAAAATAGAATCCCGAATCGTAGAAAAATGATTGGTCCTTTCCCGTCGAGGCTGCGTTTCTCGGAAAATTATGATAAAATCGTAACACTTTCAAGGATCGTGTACCGGAATCGAGTAATTGAAATTCCTCGGGAAAAAATCGTTCGGATTTGTCGATTTCGATCCCCAAAAAATTAATGGAACGGGAATACCGAAGTCCGTTGTCGATGTTTTCCTCCTCGTTCGTCGGAAAAATGGCATTAGAGAACAACAAAATTTTCTCATTGCATTTTGGTCTTTTTAAATGTGATTTGATTCCGTCTAAAATTTATTAACGAACTAAATGTTTAGATTTCCCTATTTGCATGAATATGTTGCTATTAGAAACTATTTTATTATACAGATAGAATTGTTTCGTGTATTACTACACGTTGATGAATGCCAATTTGTTGTGAACATTTTGTCCATATTTGCAAAAAATGGTGTATATTCAATTATACGAATTATGCAAGGAGTTTTTCCAAATTTCGCAAAATTTAAAGTTTTTCCTCCATTTCTTTAATGGTCTATTGATTGTGCTTAAAGAACCATCATTTTAGCAAAGGTCGTTCTGGTTCATTCGTTGAATTCGTTTAATTTATTAATATTATTTCGTTTTTTTTTTCATGATTTCATCGCAATGTATTCAGAAAACGATGTTCTCTTCTTATTACTTAGTCTTCCAGGGAAGGGGTTATTCCAGTAGCTCTGAAGAAGGCAGTTGTAAAGGCAATATATAAGAAGAACGGTAAAGGAAGGATAGGCAGTTATAGGACGGACCTTACTCTCAGCTTTTCCCAAATTTATGAAAAAGCCTTTTGCACTCGACCTATTCGGTTTCTAAATAGGTTCAACAACTTATTTAAAGGTTAGTTCGGCTTCCAAAAATGTAAATTGACAGAGCATGATATCATAAACATAGTAAAATTCTCTAACGATGATAAGTTTAGTAGCTCGCTTTTTGAGTACTCACAATGGTTAATCAAGAAGTCTAAAAATGGAAATTTATTAAAGTATAGTTGACAATCTTCATATTTCAATTTGGCTAAAATCAAGTAATTTTCCTTTCTTTTGTACACAACCGGACAGGATTATTTTTAAAAACTCAGATAGGGATAGGGGTTCCGGTTCTTGTGAATTTGAATAGATAAATAAATAATTTTGTGCGGTGGACGTAGGGCGGCATCCTCGAGCAAAAAGAAACACCGCAAAGTGTCGAGAGTTAAAAGTATCGAAAATCCAGGTGAGTTTCTGAGTTTCTTCGGGTCTCGTTTGGGGTAGGATCTCAATGTCGAAAATGGTCGAATGTCAAATAAAAAAGCATGACCTGATTTTTTCATGTAAATAGTGAAAATTTGTGATTTGACAGTCGGGACCAGATTGGTGTAAATACACCTTAGCAAAATTTTCTTTATTTCAAACATACATCACACAGGACAAATAGGAATTCCCGTGTCAATTATTGTTTCCACAAAAAAAATTGGTATTTTTAGGTTAATTTTTTTGAATTGCAGCGCAACCGGCATTCAAAAGAATATTTTGTATTAATACGTGAGTATCTTTTTGAATAATTTTCAAATTAAACTTTTTTTGAGTTCCAAATTATTTTATTCTTATTTTAGATTAGAATAATAATACTGACTCTCTAATGACGTAAAAACATTCATATGGTTGAATTTTTTTTCCATTATGGCAGAAAACCCCGTCTGGTGACAATGGCAATCATCTCAATCATGGCACGTTTGATTGACTAGATATTTGAATTTGTCTCAGCCTTAAAACACTGTTCATTCTAAGTATTATTAATATGTCTTATAATTGGTCCTTCAAGTGTTCATGATTGTGTTGTCCGCTCCTTAAAATGAAAACAGCATTATTTCGAGATTTTGCTTCTGAACATCTGAGAAATCTTCTCCCAATAACTTGAATATATTATTTACTGCAGCCTACAAAAAATGAAATAATGCAATGAAATGCGACATTTTTTGCACTAAACATGCAAAGTCAATTTTACCTCGTTCCATTACACCTGTTGCGTGTATAATACATAAAGTAGTCGATATACACTATTTGTGTTTCTGGTCTGCATTTTAAGTATCTTTAAGACTAATATAAAATTTTTCTTCCACTTTTATTTCAATAAAACATAACAAACATAAAAGTAACTCCTAAATCAACATGAATTTTAAATTGCTGAATTCATTCGGTACTATACTCATCCCCTTCTCTATAACTTCGAGAACGGAACTTTTACATATGACGCTTTTCATTATTTTGTCTGACTCGGGTTGAGAATAGCACAAGACCCAGATTGTTTTTTGTTTCTTGTGCTGCTAGTAAACTTTAAATTAGGTTTGCGTGAGCGTTTGAATAAGGTAAAGATAGAATGTTAATAACAAATTTAGCAACATTACTGAGAATAGATTCATTTGAAGTGAAATAGCTCAATCCAAAATTAATCAATGTCATCTATCTTTAAAAGCGAATTTTGAAAGGAAACGCAATTGGCCGTCAATATTTTGAACATTAATTATTCATGGACACTACGATCGTACCCTTGAAAGAGACGCTTTATTGCTGAATTTGAATTTGACATCTTTTGTTTAGTTCTGAACAGAGTTTTGACAAATATTCTCAATATATATCTGCTTCAAGTCAAGTTCATTTTTAATTTCGTCTGAATGGAATTCATCCAAACTTTAAACCCTAAATAAAGATTATCAAACTCGATTAATTCGTTTAGATTTTCGGGATCAATATTCCGTAAATCTTTCTGATCTATGTATATATAGTCCTCTCAAGAAGCACTATAGTATTTGGAAAAATCCATTCATTTAAGTAACCTTGGGTAAAATAAAATCAACTGAAAGATCGATTTAATATTATTGCTTATAAAAATAAGTTTGTTCTATCAAAAGAACGCAAAGGTATAATTTCGGAGTTCTATGTTGTGATTTTTTTAAAAAGACAATCGGACAATCTACCTTTAGTGGATATGTTTACGGTGACATCTGACGTACAAAACACCGAAAGTTTTTCTTTTGCTGAGGTTCACGGTGTTAAAGATAGAAGTATACTTATAGAAAAATTAGGTCAATACTTTTAAACCAATATAATATTGTAATCAGCTTAAAGTTTTCTAGTTTTTAAAATTCAAATGGTGTATCAAATAAAATGTAAATTATTCAACACAAAAAAAAAGTTTATTATGCAACAAGTGCGGTAAACGGCATTTGACTCACGGGTTTATTTGGCGAGAGCGGATCGAGTGTTTAAAAAACGAGTGAGTTAAAAAGTTTACCGAACGTGTTGCATACTATACTTTTCGCAAAATAAGACGAATACGTTCACTGATATGACTGTCAGAATTGACAAACGTCAAAATCCAAAGGGTGCGAAATATCTCCGAAAACATCCGATTACTCCCAAACCCGTGCGGTAAAATCGTGGAAATGTCCGAAGTGGCTCGGATTCGTGGGAAACGAAGCTGACGTGGTAAAGTGACGCTTCCCGCACGCTAGGTCGGTGTGTAATCAGGTACTTTTCAGACGGGAGTAGAAAAAAGGATATTTTTTAAACTAATGGAAACCTAAACACTAATTTTAAAGTATATGTGCATTGGCAAATGTTCTTTATTTTATATAGATCAGGAAAGCATTCCTATGTAGACTCTGACTCTGAGTTTCTGGAATTACTAGAAGATTATTAGAGCAGAAAAAAGAACTACGTTCTGATGAAAAAAGCGCACTTTTTTGTAGGAAGTTATAAATAAAGGCTTGAAAGTCAGCTCTTAATTTTGATAGAATAAAGGGACGTTTTGACTTTTATCAGCTGATGTTGAAGTTTACCAACATTAATGCTTTCTTGGAGGGAGAACCAGACTATAAAAAATTCATAGAATTTTGATTTAAAAAAAATGGATCACTAGTTATGCTCTGAAGCTGCGGTGCTAACAGCAGAACAACCTAACTCTGGATAATAAATAATAAAAATAATATATAAATAAATAAATAAAATAAATAAAATATACATAAAAGGCCACCTAACCAATAATTCCCGATCTATAACCTGAGAACTGTAACAACATATAGGATCGCCGTATAGATCGAAAAGCAGCGGTATGACGTCACAATTACTCCCGCGCGTTTAGTGTCGTTTAAAAGGAAGAGCCGGGTGTCACAATAGGAATTATTTATTGCAACTTAAATATTGGGTATTGAGTTTTGATATTTCGTATGCGTTATTTCTATACATAAACAAATCTAATAAAGAAATAAAAAAAATGCTCAAGTTCCCTATTCTGCGTATATGGCTTCGGAAGGCTCCGATTCGATGCCGTGTATTCATTACACGGCCCTCAGCGAAAGCCGTCAATACTCCAAAAATCCTTGTAAAGACGGTTATTGCCTTGTCGTTGGTAACACTGCTCCCATCTCAGGCAAAAGCTCCCGAAAACCGGTTGGCGACGGCTCCGTCGACCCGATAGGACCGCACGCCGTCCGCGTGTCGATGGAGCTTTTACACACATATATAGGGTCACTTCTCCACACATTTTTCAGTGCGGTTGGCATTACACACACGTCTCAGAGATTCAAACAGCAAGAGACGCACACTACCGCGCCGACTTTCGAAAACTATCGCGCGCTCATTCGTCCGCGTCGGCTGTCTCACGCCCATTTCATCTTTTTTTTTTTCGGAACCATATTTTCGGAATCTCGGAGACCGGTAAATGTGACCCACGCGTTTTCTTTCCCTCGAAAGGGCGGCAGCAAGATGCACCGTCGAAACCCGCTTGTGATATAAACTCTCCCTCGATTTGTGATAAACTTTACCGTTATTATTAAGTATAATTAATTAAGACGAATTGTGATACGGCGATGTCTCCGCTCAACCCCATCCAAACCGTCAGACTTTGCCTGCTGTTGAGCCTGTTGCCGCTGACGGCGAGCGACAAAAGGGCCAACAGTATCCAGAAGAGGAAGTTTCACGATGACTCGGAGGACTACCCTTCGGTGCCGGCCTCGCCCTCAACAAGTGGCTGTAGCAGCTGCAAGATGCGGGAGGAACTGAAGCTGAGGAACCTCGAGGTGATCAAGGGGGAGATACTGAAAAAAATGGGCTTCAGCCAGCCACCGAATATCACGGGCAAGGTGCTGCCCCAGGTGCCCGCCTATTACCTCGCCAAGGTGGAGGAGGAGTTGGGGATGCAGGCGGACGAGCCTTACAAAACGGGTTTCACCGTCACCGAGGAAGACGACGAGTTTCACGTGAAAACTCAGCAGATTCTGACCTTCGCCCAACCATGTAAGTGTTTGAATTTTCGAACTGCGTCGATAGAAAACTGGGTCAGCGAATATGTTTTGATCCGTGGATATTTGTAATTTAGAAGTGCATAAATAGGATTCCGTCAATATTTGCGTCGATTGAAAGATCGCGGACCGATGACAATCGCGAAACATCCCATCGATAGGAAATGTTTTCGGTCGAGTTCGACCACTGTAACGCTTAAAAATCGACTCGAGTTTATTTGTTTAATTCCGTTGTGATTTTTTTAATTCGATTCCCATTTGCGGAATTTACTCAAAAAAATTAAATTACCTACAAAATTCAAAAGCGTCGCTAATGTTAGTTTAACAGTGCGATGTACAGGTTGTCCCAAATTCGAGGGGGGGTTATTTGGTGTTGCTATTTCAAAATCGTTATCCAGAAAAATCGGGTGACACTTTCTCATTGCTACCGTTTCTCCCTACAAGTTGGCATCATCATTAAGTATGACGTTTCAGTTTTGTGCGCCCATCAGCAACTTCTTTTTTTTTTTTAATACAGACCTGCATTTTTATTTAATATTTTGAATTAGCTCGACATTCTGAAAAAATACATGTATCACCTTTAATGATTTAATGAATAACGTCCTAAAATTAGCAACAAAGCCAAATTCACACACAAAAAATAAGGTGACTTTCATCTCAAACGTTCTTGACATAATTGTTAATTATTAAAGTATCAGTTCCTACTTTTTACTGTTGTATGTAATTATAGGCTTTGTAGTAAAAAATACGTTTTGAAATGTAGAAAAACGCGATATTTTAGTACCAACTGCATCTAAAAAAAATAACCTTAGGTTAAGAATAGACCTCGAGGATCAATCAGACATTTTGAAAACGAATTGCAATGCCAATATGGAAGACATAATATTCAAACCGATATTATCCCTACAAAATCCACTCAAAAACGGGTAGAATTATGTAATTGCCTCCAAAAAGGAGCTTAGAGCAGATAATGTCTTTTTATTAAAAATAATTTGTACCGCTAAATCTAGTTTTCCGTCTCACGGTTCATTGAGCATTACCGGTCCATAGAGAATACGCTGCAACATCAAGAGATGCATCAACACAGGTGCGACCATGTTTGGGTAGGCTTGAAAAATAATAAAATTATCCGTTCAGTAATATATTGTGCAATCCTTAGGGTGACAACACCTCATCACAATGGGACAGCAACTATTCCTGCTCGGTTCATTCAACGTGCAATTTAAAATGTAATTAAAACTCTAATATTTAACAAATACGTTGGTTCAACATAATAATGCTTTTGTTTTACGGCCACTTTAATTTTTGTGTAAATTTGGCTTTATCGTCAATCCTTAAGTGTGATACACAGCCCCTGCAAAATTCAGGTCTGTATTTAAAAAAAAATAAGTTGGTCATATAAAATCGAAACGGCGAATAGAAAGGTTATAATGAGAAAATGTCATTTGTGTTTTTTTTAACTAAGGGGAAAAAATCAGAATATTCACGATTTCCAAACGCGCAACTATGCCTTTATTTAACCGACTTCTTGCCTCTTACGGTTTCCCGGATCCCAATGATCCCCTTCGAATTTGGAACAACATTTACAGGGTGACCCATTTATTACGGGATAATTATCTGGAGTCATTTATACTTTTAAAATATTATGTTATTAAATATACTTCGCATTTTTGTGGCCAAGTAACGACTTTTTTATTTTAAATAAAACACCCTGTACGTATTAAAAAATTTTTGAATTCTTCAAAAAATTCTAGACGTATACCTCATATATAATATCTAAGGCTTCACGTTTTGGGGGTTCATTTCCTTACCTTAGTAGTTCAACATCAAAAACTTTAATGAACAAATAGAGAAGATTAGATAGAGATAACTCTAATTACAAACAGAACACATTATAAAGAGTGTTATTATTCGCAACGTTTAGAGAAAATAATTCTAAAAGCAAGATTTTTTATAAAAATATATATACTTATAATATTTTTTTATAATAATAAGTAGTTCTTATTTGTGTTTAAAATAGTGCTTCACTTTCTGCAATTGTATAAATGATATCGATAAAGATAAACCTTGTACGAAGTCAACTATTTAAAACTCTAAAGATGGGGTATTGCCATTTTGAAAAAAAAAGTAACTTTTTTAAAGTTAGTGGTATTTATATATTTTTAAAATATAAACACCGACCCTAAAATAGATGCTCATCATATAAGGAAATGAACCCTAAAAGCATAACAAAGGATTTCAAGAGGAGAAATCGATAGATATATTTATTCCTACAAACGTTACCTCTGACATAAAATTGAAAATATGTCTTATACAGTAGGACTTAGGTATAAGTTATTAGAATGTTTCGAGGAATTCAAAAATATAAAATCATCTCATAATAAACAAAGCATGAGTTTTATTTTATTTTTATTCCGAATTGCAGAAATTAAAAAAAAACATATTTTTCATATCAAACTTGATTCATAATTACAAAAAAAGAGTAAGTCACTGTTAACATCGATGTTCAAAATCATCCCCAAAGTGGAGAAATGTTTTCCCAAATCATCTTAATCATTGCGTAATTAAAAGAGAAAAGATGTATGGCCCAATATTTGAAGATATTTATATTATTTTATTTTATTTTAATAGTTTCCTTTGTTAATATCTATTTTGTGGATTTTAATTAAGTGACTTGTCGACGTTGGCCAAATACTTAACTATTTAAAACTAATTAGCTCGAAAATTGTAAAAATAATTTTAAATATAGTAAAATAGTGCGTTGCCTTAAATTCCCACTGGAACTCGTATACCATTAGGTTATAAATATTATTTTTATCAAAGTCAAGCGACCAAGCTTAATAAATATGTTTTTTTAGTGGGTTCCCCTTTGGTATACTATGGACATGTCATCGCCCGATGATAATTTTTTCATTATTTTTAAACTCTTTTTATCGTTCTCTTCGTAGATGTTGAGTGAGGAGGGTTGCCTAAATATGAATGGTTGTTATGGCAACCACGTAAGCTTGGAAAAAAGAATTCTTTCCACTTTCAAAAGGTCACTTTTTTTCACATAAGAAATAAGCGCCCTACATTGGCCTAAACGTTTATTCGTTGTAACGTAGTCACTTTAAAAAATAGTTTTTTTTTTAACTCTGTCTCTATTATAAACTAAGGGGCTATTTCTTGTTTTATTAGCAAGACATTTTGTTAAACGTATTAATTATATACCTAGGCTTTTGAATATATAAAAATTTCGTTCTATAGTGTGGAGGTATCAGTAAAAACCCCAACCCCAATGTCCAGAACTGGCAGCTTTGTCTCATGGTATACTTCTGGGACTTTTCACTCATTGCAACGTTAACCTTTAAATTACGAGCAAAAAATATAACGGCCGGTTCTGTCAATTTTATTTTTATTTTTGAATCGCTCCGGTATAACAAAATCGTACTACGTAAAATAAATCTGCAAATTGGTATCGGCCGGGCTTTTACGCAACGGTTTCGCCGACCAAAACGTCAAAAATCTATTTTTAACGCTTTTTATCGAGCGTTTTGTTAAAAAGATAAACCGGATCAAGCAATTCAAAGTGCATCGCAACAATCGCCACGGGGGCGGGCGGACCAGGCGAGGACATCGGATCGACTCGACAGACCGCAAAGATAAAAATCGGAGCGTAAAATCTATCGGCGATCTGGCGTCCCAACGTTCATTTTCGGCAGTGCAACTAACACAATGACAATGGCATGGTAAAAAGTGCGAAGCCAATTTTACAATAGAAAAAATGGATAATTGTTCGTGTATAGAAACGGAAGAATGGCATAATCTTTACTTATTAGTTAATTTTATTAATTTAATTTTTATTTACGCATTAATCATCTGGCGATAAAACCATATTTTCTTCACCTATTTGTAAAAATAAAAGTCATAAGTATTCTAATTAATAAATTTCGATAAACAATTTTATTGATTAATTCCTTTATTTTTTGTTTTTCCGATATCCAGTCTTCTTTGAAATATTTTATTTCTCTTCTGACTTCTTTATTATTCCTTTGTAAGCTATTTTATCTTTTTTGTTTTGAAGTTTTCTTTTTCCCGTATATATTTGATTCATCATCCAATCTTTCTTCCTTGATAGATTGATTGATCTCATCTGCTCATGATTTTGGTCAGGCTTTTAAGATTATTATCCATTTTTTAAGTAATTTTTGTTTGATTGTTCTTTTTTTGGCGATTATCGGATTACGATAAAACTTCTGATCATCGTTCCTCAATTTTTTGTTTTTTTTTTGTTTGTTTGAGCCGGCTCAAAATTTTCTATACAGGCCCCCCCTGTTTTCGATTCCTATTTTTAGGTTGAATCCTCCCAAATAAATGGACATCGATTGCCACAAAATCAACTAAAGTCTACTTGGTTCTAAAATGCTAACACCCTATTAACTGTGCATGAACTTTAACGATTTCTTTATTTCCATTAAGATTTTCCTTCAAATCGAATGTTAAAGATAATGAAAACATTATCGAATATGCGGGTATGCCAGTATATTTTTGCCGCTTTGTGGTAGGTAGAATTTTCCAAATCTTGCAAAATGTTTTATTTTTCGGGTATAGGGTATAGATCAGTCAAAACCGTGGCAAATACGTTTTCCAGTATATTTTTGTGGTGATATTGTGGTTAGATCTGTCAAAATTTTGCCAGATACGGTTTCTAGTATATAAATTGTGGGTTAGTGGTGCGTATATTGTGGTTAGGCCTGCCAAAACTTTAAAACCAAACAAACCAAAAGCTGAAACCGCGCCAAATTCGTTTTTTTTTTTGGGTATTTTGAGGTTAGATCGGTCCAAATCTTGCACAATGCGTTTCCAGTATATACTGTGGGTTGACTTTATTTTAAATGTTCTCTCCTGGATATGGAATGGTCTTGCTTGTTTTTTTTTAAACTATTAATATTGGTAACTAGTGTTTTTTGCTCAAGATTAATGTTTAACGAAAACATATATAGAACTCAATTCTCA